TTATTATTATTATATATTTTAATATTATTATTATATATTTATTATTATTATTATTACTATTATATATATATTTTTTTTATTACTATTATATATTATTATTATTATTACTATTATATATATTATTATTATTATTATTATTATTACTATTTATTATTATTATTATTACTGTTATTATTATAATTATTATAATTTTTATTATCATTATTATTTTATTATTATTATTGTTGTTGTTATTATATATTTTTATTATTATTATTATTATAAGCTACTCATAACTACAAAACAAAACGCTGTAACAATAATATATAAGTAGATCATACATTACATTGTAAAAATACATTATATTATCATATATCATGAATTGCACATCAGTTGCAGGCTTCATCAATTATTAATAGGCTTTTTAGTTTTCAAAGTTGTGCTTTGCTTTACAGAGGATGCTGCACACAGTGCTTATATTGAAGCATTTTAGTGAAGAAATGTGTGTGTGCGTGCTGTGTGCATGTGTGTGCGTGCGTGAGTGCGTGCGTGCATGTGTGTGAGTGCGTGCGTGCATGTGTGTGTGTGTGTGTTTTATATCTGCAGTATCTGCTGACAGCTGTCATGTGCTTTGACACAAGTGACACCAGCTCAATCACTCAGTGTTTCAGATGAGCTCACACAAACGCACAGAAAAGAAAATACACACACACACACACACAGGCGCAATGATATTACGTCTGAAAATAGTACCCAGCAAGTCATCATTTTGACGCCAAAGCTCTTGTGGTGTTTTGGTGACTGTCGCTATAAATTCAAATGAGATTGTGCTCTTTTCAGATAAGGACGGAGCTCCAAATGCCTGTGCATCAGCATAGTGGCAGATTCAAAACAGGACTAATGGTATCCGTGTAAAAATGTGTGTGTGCTTCATGCTTCTGTCAGTCTATGGAGACTCCTGTCGCTGTTCATTTGTGCTTCATCTAAAACTCCACATCTATAATCCTCTTAGGCCCCGTTTACACTGTCGGGTCTTGATGCCTAACTCTGATTTGTTGCTTATATCTGATTTGTTTGCCTGTCTGTTTACACATTCTTTAACTGTGACCCTTATCTGATGTGTTTACACTAGACATGCAATTTACAACGTCGCACATGTGCAAAGGTGGGTTCTAGCATCTGCGCCACACCAGCCACGATGGAAGAAATTGTCTTGCTTTTAGCTCTGCGAAATATGCAAAGTTCGCCCAATTGTGGCAGGCTTTATTGAGGAGCAGTGGATCTGAAATTTTAACATGAACACACACGCTCTTCCTTCTACGTCCTTAAACTGTAGAGAAGCACCACATTGTCGCAAGTTTAATGACGTACAGAACGGAAAGCCTCAATAAATCCGATAAATCAATGTCGCGTTGTCACATATCTGATTTATATCTGATTTATTTCCACATATGAAGGAGGCCTGAAACCCATTTCTGAATATCCGAATGCATGCGTTTTTTTCGTGTTTAAATGGTCATAGAATGTACCGATCTTTGCCACATATGAGCAGAAACATATGAGTCATATTTAACTGGCAGTGTAAACAGGGCCTTAGTCTATGCTGACATTATCTTCAGCAGCTCAAACACTCTAACGGTTAACGGACAGACGGCTGCTTCTCACTCAGGGCTGCTGTTTATGCTAATGAGAGAGAGTCTTTTTCCTCTGCGTCACGGCTGTTTCACACCGCAAGCGTGAGCAGGGCGTGAGCAGCGTGTGTTTTTTCGGCATCCATGTTAACAGTTTAGAGCTGTGGTCTCAAACTCGCGGCCCGCGGGCTATTTGCGGCCCTCAGTGCAATATTTTGTGGCCCGCGCCGACCGCTGTACACTGACAGAATCAGCGGAGCGGGAAGAGAGAGCGCTCCCCGCTCCGCTGATTCTATCCGTACACAGCGGTCACTGACATTCCCCGCCCACCGTGTAAACAAAGGGGCGGGGATGCCGGTGACGTCACCACGCACCCCGCCCCTTTGTTAGACGCTGTGACGGGCGGGAAGTGTTAGGAGGGAACTCGTGCCGGCCAGAACCAAGGTAAGCTGTTCCCGCCCCTGCTTGCCACTTAGCTACCTATCTGCAGCCTACCACCTACCTAGCTACAGCCTGCATCTTATATATATTATAGGTAGATACAGACTGGTACAGACTGATGTGACTGGAGTGGGGTGGGGGTGTTTTATTTATACATATATACGCCTTTTTTTTAGGTGAGGCAGTGCACATGCCCTTTTTAGTCTTGGATAGAAAGTGCCCTTCCAAAATGATCAAAAGTGCCCCCGCGACGCGGCACACCTTCGGTCCCGCCCTTCAGTAGGCGCGCGTCAACACCGCTCTTGAGTACGCGCGCGACAACACAGCTGATCAGTACGCGCGCGACAACACAGCTGATCAGTACGCGCGCGACAACACCGCTCTTGAGTACGCGCGCGACAACACAGCTGATCAGTACGCGCTTGACAACACAGCTGATCAGTACGCGCGCGACAACACAGCTGATCAGTACGCGCGTGATAACACCGCTCTTGAGTACGCGCGCGACAACACCGCTCTTGAGTACGCGCGCGACAACACAGCTGATCAGTACGCGCGCGATAACACCGCCCTTCAGTAGGCGCGCGACAACACCGCTCTTGAGTACGCGCGCGACAACACAGCTGATCAGTACGCGCGCGATAACACCGCTCTTCAGTAGCCGCGCGACAACACCGCTCTTGAGTACGCGCACGACAACACAGCTGATCAGTACGCGCGCGATAACACCGCTCTTCAGTAGGCGCGCGACAACACCGCTCTTGAGTACGCGCGCGACAACACAGCTGATCAGTAAGCGCGTGATAACACCGCCCTTCAGTAAGTGCGCGACAACACCGCTCTTGAGTACGCGCGCGACAACACAGCTGATCAGTACGCGCGTGATAACACCGCCCTTCAGTAGGCACGCGACAACACCGCACTTGAGTACGCGCGCGACAACACAGCTGATCAGTACGCGCGCGATAACACAGCTGATCAGTACGCGCGCGATAACACTGCTCTTCAGTACGCGCGCATCCACTCTGCAGATCTGCACCAAGCGCTGTCAAGTCTCTGGCAGCAAGAAGTAGGCAAAAGATGCCATGTTCA